GCAAATAGTGAAATTCATGTAGGACTGCTCACATGGAGAACGCTACCCTCAGACCCCAACTAGTGGCGGCCAAAGGAAATGATTCATTTATTAAGGTAATTACAGGCTATGAAACAGCTGGTTATGGGCTCATTCTCCTGGCCTGAGCTACTTTCTAACATCTGCTAGTATGAGCAGAGAAAGTCACTGACTTATTCAAGTATCCTCTCCCAGACAGGAAAAACGTTATATTACACAGAGCTTAGGCTGTTTGGTCAGAACAACAAACAAGAGATCACAAAGGTTGAGGAGTCAGGACGACCCATACAAGAACATGAATAGGCCCATATCCTGAAGATTTCATGATATCTTTAACTAACCCAAAACCTACATGATGTTTGCCATTCTACAATGTAGGCGCCATTGCCAACAGTTCCAAGTTGGTGATGACGATGGCGATATGTCTTTTAATTGCTTCGGCTCTCCAGTCCTATTTCATCATAGTCTGCATTAACATTTTGTTTTATATAATTAATCTCTCTCTCCCTTTTGTACACACACACACACACAAAGATGAACTCTTCTTTTTTTCTGATTATGTTTTGTTTTTATTTTTTATTTTCTAGTATTTCCCGATGCTGTTTCATTGGCTTCATCCTTGGTGCAGCCACTTCTTCCTGTCAGAATGTATTCACTCTGTACTTAGAGCTCCCGCAAGCCTTTTCACCAACGCTGCCCTCTTGTTTCCAAGTGGATGTTGTTTATAAGACGAGTCAGTCAGTTTGGTTGCCAAGAAAGATTGTGAGACTCCATCTGCCTGAGTTCTAATTTGTTTTGCCACTTACTAGTTGTGTGACCTAAGTATGTAACCACTCTCTGCCCCACTTTTCCTTCTGTAAATTAAGGGTGATGATAATATCTTACAAGATTATTATGAAAATTAAATTATGTAACACACTGAAAAGCACTTAGAGACCTGTCTGAAAACAGTATGGAGAACACTTGTTCATCATGCTTGGTATTTCGTCCAGGCAGACATAAAACCATCTCAGCTGCTCCCAAATGTTTCCCTCCCTTTTCACCAAAGAGTAGTTCAATCTTATTAGTGAATTTAGTAACAACAAGTGGTATCTCCTTCCCTCTGCTTTCCCCTTTGAGAGTGAGGTTTTTAGCTAAAGGAAAGCAGAAGGCCCCTTTTGTATTTTAACTTCCAATTCAGTCTTTATCATTTGAAGTGATGATGTTTTAGCCTCCATCTGCTACTCTTTCCTTTATTTTTTTATTACTGTGAGCTCAGGGTAGGATAATGACAGTAGGGAGAATGCTATTCGATAGACCTTGTTGGCGACCCAAGCATACATTCAACATAACATTTTAGCTAATACCATTTTTACCTGTCAGCTACTACAGAAAGTTATACTTGAATTTTTCTCTTTCAGCATTGAACCACTCTCTTTTGTTCATTTGCTTTTATTTTGCTAGAAGGTTTATCCACTGGCCAGAGGGTGACAGAGAGAGAAAGGAAAAGGAGAAAGCACCACCCATGAGGTGTGGCCACAATGCTATCCGTTCTCCCCATCTCTCCTTTTGAGATTTTGGGCATGCATGCACACACACGCAGTGTGTTTCTTACTCTCCCCTACCCGACTCCAGTAAGTACACCCATCCTTTGGCAAATTAAAATAAATAGTAGCTACTGTAAGAATAAAATGAGATCACACTTTAAAACTTCCTAAAATGCTGACTGGCAGATAGTAAGTGCTCCAAAAAGCAACTTTTATTAATTTGACCAACACAAAACTATCTCTACCCAACGCACTATTTGTGAGGAAAATATTTGAAGCTGAGATCACAAAAAGAAAAATCAATCATGTCTTCTGATGCTCTCGTCCCAAAAAAGTTAATAAAGAGATTCAACAGTCCATTCAAAACTGCCTATCTCAACTATAAATATTCATCCTTATATTTGTGGAGCAAATTATAATCTGGTTCACTCTGAGTGATTTGAAATATGTATGATTTCTTTCAGAGTTTGGTCACTCTCGGTTAATCCTGCAACAATGTGACATCCACTGACTCGACTCAAGTGCTCTGTCTCACATTCCCAGGGCATAGCTTTTAAGAAGATATTTAAGATATACAAAATTTTAAACTGCTAACTTCATCCACATGGTAGGAGGTACAATGATATGAATAAATCATAATTAAATAACATTGTTAGGACAATTAGCAATCTTACCACTGTTATAAAACTCAAAGAATCTTACTGCTGCTTAAAGAAATCTATAATGACAATGATTCAAAAAGAATTTTAAAAATTGGATTTGATCTGAATAAACTGTGAGGATGCTAAGCAAGGGCTAGGCTTTTAAGACTTCCATTTCCAATTATTTTATGAGAAAGGCATCCTTGAGAGTTCTGTTGTTTGAAGGCTTGAATTATATTGCACATCGAATTACCTCATCTTCTAGGATCAATAAACCACTTCAAGCTTTAGAACTGGGTTCTTCTTTCAAGCCAGGAATATAATGGTATGACACAGCAAATTGCCTAAGGAAGAAGATAACACTAGAAAAGGAAAGTCCGCAGCAATTCAATGCCAAGACCATTAACATTTGTTAAGGACAAGGGAGGTACCCTAGCAACTCAGGGTGCATCCAATAAGTAGATCTGTATATATTCTGACCTTTCATGAGGGAAAAAGGAGTTGAAGGAAAACTATAAAGGGCAGAGATTTACACACACTTTGGAAAAGATATTTTCTACCAAAGCTCTGATAAATATTTGCTGTATTTTTAGATTTCATGCTTGTGCTTTTTCTTGAAAATTTCATGCTGTGTTTTGCCACTGTGAGAGTGAGGATGAAAGTTCAAGTGCTATTTTATTGAATAGCTGAAGTTAGGGTCAGGACAGAGATACACAATTCATAAATCGGCTTTTCTTAATCAAAACTGCCTATTTGAGAATGTATATCCACAGAAATACTGTGAGGCTTTTTAATAATTTCTATCCTATGGTGAAATTGAACAGTTAGTTAACCAACTGAAAAACAGACAGCTCAATTGTGCTTTTAAAGTTTTAAGATTACCTCAATTGATGGGGCCAAACAGATGGAACTAAAATATTCAATATTTAATCTGCTTCTTCCTATAAGTATTCAAGATTATCATAGCCAACAAGGCAGAGTAACTGGGTAGGCAATACTGGTTTCTATGTGAAAGAAGTTTTGTCTTTTTTAATATGCACTAGATTTATCAGTGCATACACTATCAAGGAGGTTTGTAAGGCAAATGAGGATATGGGATGTACTCTAAACTCACATTGAATTTGGTAACCCCTAAGCCTAAACTTATATCTAAGGCTGTAGCCAATTTGATTATTATTCTGTCTCTTATACTCTTGCTGATTAGACTTGCCGGTTGAATTAGTCAAAGCAAATTGATTTCTTACTTGGCTTCAGGTTAGATATCAGGTATTTGTTAATAACTATCTAGGATCAAATAGATAATCTGCATTCTACATTCTGTATAACTATAATTTGGTATGGTCCTTTGAGATTTATCATACAAAATATTAAAAAATCAATATTCACAATGAGGTTGCTATTATAACAAACTTTTCTAAAGAGTTAAATATATACAATTAGTTGTACATTGAAAAATCCTCTTTATACTAGAAATTCTAATTTTCTAGATCTTGAATGTAGACTGCTTCTTAGTCTAAGTCATTACACTTAGTATTTCAGACTTAACATAGCTAAATCTGTGGTTAGATAATCCAACCAAAAACCTGCTTCTGGCCCTGTATCCTATTTTAGTGCATTATATTGTTATCCATCTAGTGGCACCATCTTGAAACTTGAGCATTAGCCTCAGTGCACACTCTCCCTCCCAGTCAGTTCCTGTCAATTATACCCTCTAAATAGGTCATGAATCCATCTCTCTTTTCCATTCCCACTGCCACTGCAGCAATCTTAATTTATTTCTGTCTGGGTAAAAGAGGAAAGCTTTGGGGATGGGTTGTTATGTTGGCAGTTTGTAAATGAGGACACAAATCATTACTCACAGGCATGAATTATGTAACATTCAATGCCTTTGATAGAAGAAAGGCATTAAATTCTAAGAGCCCTTTTTCAGAAATTTCAGATTCAGTTACTTTGCTGAATTGGCTTAATAGGTTAACCCCAAGAGGTCCGAGAGATTATATATTGGGACACACAAGAACAGGGATACTGTAGGGGTCCAGGACATTGAAGGAAAGACCACTTTCATCATATGCTTCTAACATACAACAGTAGTCCCACAGAAGGCATAAATTTTAAAAAGAATTATTTTATTTAACTTTATTTATTTATTTATATATTTATTTGTTTTAATTGGACCAGAGCAAAACAGAGTGAGAGAGAACAAGAGAGGAAAAGTGAGAGACCAACCTGCCAGGTCCAGGACTCGAACCACAGTCAGCCATGTGGGAGGCCAGCACCCTTAACCACCATGCCACCTGCCATACCCCCTTTTTTTAAGAATTATTTTATTTAACTGTATTTTTTTACTTATTTTAATTTGACAAGAGAGGGACAGAGTGAGAGCAAGAGAGGAAAAGTAAGAAAGCAAGTAAAAGGCATAATTTTAAGATATTCACTAGAAAAAGTCTAGCAAATAGACACAGAAGAGCAGTATTATTCTGTTTGAGGTGTATATTTTGTAGAAGGGAGAACTTGAGTTTTCCTTTTCCTTTTATTTTAAGATCTGCTAACTTGCCATGCATGTACCTGGGCATAAGGGGGGGGGCTCTTCCTCATCTACCGTGGCATTTTGAGGGCCTTCCAGCCGCTGGTATTTCCATAGCAGGGTGTGGTTCAGATCCAAGGAGATCACACCAAGTCACAGACCCTAGTGCTGATGTCCTCAGCACTTGGTGGTACAGAAGCTCCAGAATTAAAATATGAAGACTTGATTGTTCCTCCGAAAGATTCTGGAAGTTACATTTCTCACTGTCCTTAGGTTATAGAAGTTAGGGTCATATTCACTTCAGCAGCACATATACTAAAACTGGAATGATACAGAGAAGACTAGCATGTCCCCTGTGCAAGGATGACATGCAAATTTATGAAGTAAGGGTCATAGCTACCCCAACACTCATGTGCAGAGATTTATCACCTGACTACCTACGTAGCACAAGCCCTATTGCAATAAACTAATGAGCACAAAGTCTACTCAGGTTCACAGTACCAGCAATTCACACAAACAGAGCAGGGTAGAAGCTGAAATAGAAAACCATTTATAAGATTCTGTTTGGGACCAGCAGTTAGCGTAATGGCTCTGTCGCTGGACTCCCATGTAGTCGACCGCGGTTGGAGTCTGGGACCGAGTAGCTTAAACTCATGCCGGGCGTGGGTGCATGCATGCCCAAGATCCCAAGAGGAGAATGGAGGAGAAGGGATTGTGGCGTGGCCATCCCCCCTGGGGGGGGTGATTTCTCACTTTCTGTCTCTCTGTCTCTCTCTGTCTGGCGAGCGCACATGCCCTATAGCAAAAACCTCTCCCCCCAAAAAAGAAAAATAAGATCCTGGCCAATATCTCTCTAAATTATTACCTAAGAATGATTTAATAGAGAAGAAGTTCACATTATCATATTCATGACAAAGGAGATCATTGCTCATTTACTACCTAAAATAGAGAAGAGGTTCACATTATAATTTTCATGACAAAGGAGACCATTGTTCATTTACAACCTAAAATAATGGTCAAATGGTTTCTTTAAGGCATTTGTCTATAATAAAATAACAAGAGGTAGGGAGGCAGGCAGGTAGGAAGGAAGGGAGAGAGATACGAGAGTGGGGGCAGAGAAAGAGAAGCTCCATATCCTTTTGTCATAAATAAATGCAGCAGATCATATCACCAATCTTCCCTTAATTAGAGACAAAGACTAGGAAGGTAGAAAGTGTGGTGATGGTCCATTAACTATGAAAAACATTGACATGCTCTTTTCTGAGAATGAAATGAAGATAAAGTGAAGGTCTATAATTTTAGTGATAAGGAGAACCAGAACATCTTTACTGATGTAACTACAGAGGAAGGACATTCACCAAATTTAAATCTAGGTAGATTTGCAATTACCAGGATTAATTTTTCTGAGAATATACTGTATTGCCTATATTTTTATAAAGAATTCAGAGGCCCAGCCACTGTGGCACACAAGTAATTCCACCACTTGGGAGCTTGAGGCTATATGAGAAGCCTGAGTTTGAGTCCTAGATTGACCAAAACTTGCGGGGTACAGCTGTACATGCCTGTTACCCTAGTGAATTGGGAGGCTGGGGCAGGAGGATGACTACATGAGGAAAACCTGTCAAAAATGTCTACCTCTGTGTCTCCCTTTTGACAGTGTCCTTTTCTCTCTCTCTCTAATATAAAGATATAAAGGGGGAGAAAACCATCTAAGGTTGTCATTTTTAATGTACCAAATTTTTGTCACATAAAATGTTTCCAGAACTTTGACAGTTTTAATTACTTGGCCAAGTATAAGTGGAAGGAATGAGGATCTCTTACATAAGAATAAAAAAATAACAATAATAAAAAAAAAACATGGATCCCAAAGAAATACCATGTTAGTATAACAGGCCTCATTCTGAAAGCCAGTCCATTTCTTTATTTAGAATATCTTTAGGAAATTGTAAGAAAAACTGTTCTTCTATTTAACTAACCAAGGAAGCTGGCAGTTAGTTTATTTGAGATAAAGAAGAACCACATACTGTAACCTAAGTTTAAATTTAAAACCAGAAAGCCCACACATCTTTTTCTCAACAGTATTTAACTTTAGAAAACAAAATCTTGAACACAGCAATTTTGGTTTTAGCACTGTGCATGATAACTCTTCCATAACACTAGTACATTAGCACTCAATTTATAAAAAAAAAAAAATCAGTATTTATGGTATCTAATTATAAGTAAAGCACATATTTTGTCTTGTGGGACTTGGGAACTATATATACAATACTACCTTGTTTGTATCTCATGTGTGATCATATTTTATGTTATATCAGAATGTTAACCTTTGTCTCTTAACTAACAAATTCTTAATGTTCAATTTGTTACATTTGTTAAGATTTTTGTTTAGGGGCCAGCAAGTGGCATGGTGGATAAAGTGGCTGTGTTCCCATATGGTCCACCACAGTTTGAGTCCTGGATCTGGTGGCTTGAAAATCACACCACACAAGCATGTGTGTGTGCCCAAAATCCCGAGAGGAGAATGGAGAAGAAGAGACTGAAATGTAGTCATTCCCCCTCGGGGGGTGATTTCTCACTCCCCCCCACCCCCGTCTCTCTGCTCTCCAGCAAGAGTGGGTGCTCTATGGCCAAAAATTAAAATAAAAAAAAAATTAAATCTATATCCAATTTTAGAGTGCAAATTTCCAGGAAAAAAAAGTTTATAGGAGTTTGCATATTGGTCAACTTTTTATTGTGCATCTATATAAAGTCTCAAGAAAGAATTATTTTTGTGATAGGGTGGCAAAGGACATTAGATTGTCACTTAGAATTCTGGTTTCTAATCTCAGTTCTACCATCTACCATCTTTGCTATCAGCTATTAGTCAAATGATTGGCCCTCTTTGAGCTTGAATATTCTCTGAAAATATGAAGTAGGACTAAATAATTTCACTAATTTTATTAAATAATAGATGTTTCTATGTATCTTCTTAGAATTATATGCAATGTGACTCTTCATGTCTTTCACATTAGTTCACACAAATTACACTGGAGTGAGAAATGTTTAAATCTTATTTCGATATTTTTCATAAAATCACATTTTTCATTGTTTAAAATTGTATTCTTTAAGTTTATGATGTCTAGTTTAATCAACACTTACAACTACACTTTAAAGAGGACAGAGAATAAAGCCTTTGCAGATCAGTTTAGCTGGAAAATTCTGTTTTAAGGTTCCTCTTTAGGTTCTCAAATCTCAGAAAACTATAAAACAGTCAATTCTCATTTCTGACAGTACTTTTGGATAATACAATAACGTAAATACTGAATTGGTGAATACTGAACCATTGCTCGTATGGGAAAAATAAGTTTAGATTCCTTTGGACATCTGATCACAACATGCTTGTCAACATGTCACCTTTAAACAAAACACAGATAAACAAGTTTAAATCAATTAAGGATGTATGTAATGTATCATAACTTCATTTTATGCATGTTTCAAGGTAAAAAGACCTTCTTTAGAATATATTATTGATTTATTAACATTGAATTCACTGTAACTCATGTAGGAATTAAGCTTATCTAACACACATATTTTGTCCATAACGTGTTTCAGCCTTCTTATACTTCAGAACTTTAGACAGACATCTTTTCAGTACCATGCACGGGGGTATTTTAAACTGCAAATCACCAAAAAGGAAGCATAAATAGTCAAAAATAAAAATAAAAAAGGAAAGAAATCTGGAACTAAATAGACCACACACACACACACACACACACACACACACACACACACACACACAGAGTTTATAGTAGGAGAGCTAAAAGAGGAAGACAGAATATAGACATGCTCCATCTCAGCTGAAAACCTGCACACTGAACAAGCCAGATTTTTCTCTGCTCTGCAAATGTCTCTAAGGGAAAATGAATTAAAACATAGAACTGAAAGAATATTACAAACTTTAACTATATCAGTTGAATCATCACTTCCACTATCCACAAAGGTTACTAGCATGTGGTAAAATTGATTCCCTTTCATAAAATATTGGGTTGTAAGAAAAGTCATGACCTGTTTTTTTTCTATGCAAAAAAGTGCATTATGACTTTTCCAACAACCCAATAATAGGAAGGTGGCATATTCTGATCCATTCTATCAGTAGATACTGCCATACAATTAGTTGTCCATTGTAGTGGTGCTGCTGTGTATGACCAGCAAAGAATTCCAGCTATTTCACATGGTAGGAAAGGAAATGGATATATAAGAGAGATTTTTGCTATAAGGTGTGTGCACTCAAAAGAGAGAGACAAAGAGACATAAAGTGAAAAATTTCCCCCTTGGGAGATGGCCACTCAACCATCCTTTCTCCTCTCGGAGTCTTCGATACACACGCACACATACCCGGTGTGAGTTTTAAGCCACTGGGTCTGGGACTTGAACCATGGTTGATTTTGTGGGAGTCCAGTCATGTAACCATTATGCCATCTTCTCATCCTTCAGGAAAAGAATATTTTCCCTCCCTTTTAAGTTCTCAGTTGGGGTCACTTTTACAAAAGATAAATTAATAAGTCAAAGCATGTACACTTATTTTATATAAATTTTATGAAGAAAGGGAGTCTTCACGATGAAAAGAAGACCCAAAGACATGGTTAAACCTGGGTGTTTTTATACTAGGTTTGATGAAGAGCGGAGAGTCATAAGAAAATATGATAGGACAAAAAGGGATAAGAACTAAGAGTATTATCTTGCAGAAAATTTGGCAAGGTCTGTTTATTCCAAATCTTCTGGGTGTCCTCCTGACTTCAGAGACAAGTCAGGCTATAGGGAGGGCATCTCTTCACCTAAGGGTCTTATAACACCTGTTTCAGGAAATCAGAAAGTTCTTTACCTGCTTTTTTTCCAAATACCTTTAACTAAATCTGTTCAATATGCAAATGCCATATTTGCAGAAGTATATTCTGAACCTCCACCAATATCTTCATCATTATTAATTTAAATTATCAATTAAATTATCATTTTAACTTTAGGTATTCTAGTGAGTGTGTGATAGCATCCATCTTCTTGCAGTTTTATCTAACATGTCTCTGTCGATACAAAGTACATTGGACATTTGAACATTATCCTTGTAAGAAAAAAAATTTTATTATTGATTTATCTTTCTCTTTTTTTAATTTTGTATGTTTTTAGGAACCTTATAAATATTCTGAATATAAACATGTTTTTGGCTATTCATGGTATAAATATTTTCTCCATTTCATGCTTTCTCTGCCTTGCCCTTCCTTTACTAAAAAATATATTTATTTCTTTCAAATTTTTAATTGTAATTTATGATTTACATACAATCATTAAACATCTTTGTAGAGTACAGAATGGTCTTTAAAAGCATGTATAGGAGACCAGTAGATGATGTAATGGTTACATCACT